CGGACCAGAATGTACCCTGAGTACCGCAGTCACGTTTCACGCTTCCTCATTTTTCCTCTACCAGTCACCGAATGACGTTATTGGGTAAGCTAGTTCAATTTCTTGGCTATACTCAGTTGTATTTTGAAATAGTAGGGATTGCATTCACTTTAATTATCAACTGTTCTATGAATGCGGACTAGAAGTAGTTCAGAATAGAGAATATAGCCAACTGTCAAGCTTAATGCAAACAATAATTTGCAATAGCCACTGTCAATGGATTGTTTTTTTTTCTTGCTTATTCATAACTGTTAAAATTAATTAAAATATGTTAAACTAAGCTGATAATTTCGCGCGCAGTTTGGCCTTCTCTATAATTATAGATCTCTTACGCATGTCACTTCACAGGAGCAACTGAATAGTGGAAGCTGGTTCTGTTTTTATTTATCAAATGGAGCATTCAATGAAAAAATTTTTAAGGACCTCCCTGATACATAAATGCCAAATTATCAAAACTGATAAAAATAAGGGAGTCCTAGAGAAACAAGTTCGAATCAACTTGCCGAATTTGGCGTTAGGTGTAACGCTGATTGTGACATCAAACAGGTCGTGCTTGTAGCAAATTCAGGAAGTTGTGTTCCAGATCACCAGTGTCGGTATACGCGCTGAAGTTCACATTCCGTACCACAGTAGCAGATACGCATATTGTGTCAACAGAGAATATTCTCAGTCAGGTGCAGTTCGCGGCAAGCATAACGCATGGCTATCTGCTCGGCAACTTCAGTGGTTTCGTTTCACGTCGATTGTTACCATTTCCTGTGAATGACGACCGATGGTATACGCTACTGTTCAATAACACCAATAAGGTTCGCTCGTTTTGTGTAACTTCTCAGATTTGCTGTCAGGGCCAAGATTGTCTGTGCTGTTTGAGTGGAGCTCGCTAAATTACTGAAATAGAGTCGTATGCTAATGACAGGTATGAGAAGCATTCCTGAAGCCTTGAAGCTGAATTTTACTTAAATGGATCCGTAACTTGTTTCTCACCTTCCTAGGTGGCAATTTGATTTCCATCTCCTACCTAGCTAATATCACTCTCCGCTTAATGATCTTCATAATTATGCCAACAATGTATTTCACTACTCCAGCTTTCCTTTTCTTGCGGGCACATGGGCGCTGTCCGCCATGCTTGAGCGAATGTCCCATTCCTGTTGAGACAGTCCACGTGCCTGCCCAGCATTAGAAATAGTCGCATTTTGATGCTCTTCTTATACCCTGTCTTATTTGCTTAAGTGTGACATTTTAAACTACTATTAGAGTCATTAGTTTGTCTTTTTTTAATACTTTTTGGCTAATTCCAGAGCCAGTTTCTTGAATCACGAACACACCTTGCTTGAAAAGCCCCCGTTATTAATTATAGCTAGAATACTTCAAACAGCTGTTAATTAGTTATCTGTTCCTTCAGCTATGAAACTAGTCACTGTTCCAGTCGCATTAACCAATGCTGCACTGCCCAGCGGTCAGTAAAGATCTTATCTTTATGAAGGCCTTGCTGCCGAGCATCCGTCCCAGCAGAAACACTTACTTTAGCCATTTTGAGATGTCCTTGTTGAGTGTTGAGTATCACTAACTCGCCCAAACGTCCCAAAACTGCGGATCACAGTGAGCTGATTTGGCGCCTAAGAGCGGTTACTAAATACGAGCTGAAAAATTTTTAAATGGGCTGTAAGTACCAAAAATTGGTGAAGTTTTTTGTCGTTGAAAACTAAATTGAAGGGCATTTTTT